ATATGCGATGACTTGAAAACTGGTAATATTTCTCCTGATACGAGTACGGATGTAGCCATGTTAAATGCAAAAATAAATATTCAAGAGGTAATAGATGCAGTTGAATCAGCTAAAAATCATAAAGCCTCTGGCATTGACTGTATACCGGCGGAAGCTCTGAAAAATAATACGTGTATATCTATGCTATACTCAATAATAAGTAAATGTTTCGATAGCGGAGTCGTACCGGAAAAGTGGCGAGAAGGGATAATTAATCCCATAATTAGGCCAAACAGTACTGACCCTCAGGTACCGTTAACTTACAGAGCAATAATTCTACAGTCTATCCCATGTAAAAATTATTGTAGTATTTTAAATAATCGTTTTAACAAAGTGGCTCGAAATAATTGGTAAATTGGCTGATGAACAAAATGGATTCCGCAAAGGTCGCAGTTGTCAGGACCATATCTACACCTTATACAGTAATATAAATAACAGAAAGAACGTTGGACAGTCTACTTATACTTGCTTTATTGATTTACAAAAAACATTCGATACGGTAGGTAGAACATGTTTATGGTATAAGTTGCAACGTATTGTAGTTAAAGGAAGTATATACAATGCCATACTTTCTTTTTATGAAGACGTCACTTGTTACGTCAGAATTAATGACGTCATTACTAGTGGCATCAGTGTTCAACGCGGTTTAAAACAAGGCTGTTTAATGTCTCCAGTTATTTTTTCTATATATATTAATGATCTAATTGAGGATCTGAACAAATCTAAACATGGTATACATATAGATGATATTTGAGTTTGTTCGTTGTGCTACGCTGACGACATTGTGTTAATGGCCCCCAATGAAAGGAACCTTCAGAAATTATTGGATATTGTTGCGGATTGGTGCCGTAAATGGAGGCTAAGTATCAACCCTTCGAAGTCTAAAATAGTCCACTTTCGACCAAAACACCCCCCAGAAACTGGTGTCCAGTTTACCTGCGGAAATGTTTTCATAGAAACTACTAACAGTTATAAATATCTTGGGATTTAGCTTGATGAATATCTAGATTTCACTCGGGGCCTTGACAGCTAAGTTCATTTCTGTGCGTGGTATGTCGTTTCCCGTTTTTGATAAATTATATGAATCTCTGGTGGAGCCAGTATTATTTTACTGTAGTACCATTTGGGGGCAATCCGAACACCGTATTATAAATAATGTACAAAATAGAGCGATGAAGTTATTTCTAGGTGTTGGAAGAAATTCTTTCAATCTAGGTAAAAAAGCCGATATGGGTTGGATGTCTTGTGTATCCAAACAACGAATTGAAGTTTTTAGGTTGTGTTGTAAGTTAAAATCGGTGGATAATGACCGTATTCTGTACAAAGTTTATTCATGATCCGCCACGAAAGGTAAATCATGGGATGTAAAAGCTAAAAAAAAGGGCAAGTAAGTTTGGTATCGCCAATATTATTAATGACGGTCTAAATTCAACTAAATCCGTTATGTCAAAAATCAAACAGAAAATGTTCATCAAGGATGAAGAGACCTGGTTCTCCAGTCTTTGGTGTGATAAAGGTAACATTAACGACAATAAATTACGAACATACCGTTTATTCAAAAAAGATTTACAACCGGAACATTACGTCACCACTTTAATGCCGAGCCCACACCGTAGTGTATTAGCCAAGTTAAGAAGTGGCAGCTTACCGCTACTTATAGATACGGGTAGATATGCACGTCCAGTCACTCCATCAAATGACAGGCTGTGCAATTTCTGCGATAATAAAATTGAGAATGAAATCCACTTTTATGTGAATGTAACCTATATTTCGACCTTGGGGTCCCTCTGTTTGAAAGAGCAAGAAATTTAGATCAATCATTTATTTCTATGGACCATAACGAACAATTTACTTTTCTTATGAATGAAGAATCGCTTCAACCTGTCTTAGCGAAGTCAGTTTTCCTTTTTATGAAAAGGAGACGTGATAGTACTAAAACTTGATATGCATTTTAGATTTTTTATGACTATATACCTCGTAATATATGGTTCATATTATTGCGTTTAGTAGGCAACTTTACGATACTTTCACCATTTACTATAATTCAGTTTTGATGATTTTAGTAAATCTAATTCATGTATTTTATATGTATTTGATGTGCTAGTAATTGCCAATCATCGAGGTCCCGATGGTGGGGGAGGGGCGACTTGTCGGTAGGGATTGGCCCAACCACTCTCGCTCTTCTCCCACCATCGGATCCTGAGCATACATTCAATTTTTATATTATGTACAGTATAATATATGGTTCTTTTTATTGAAAATCATTAATGGATTCTATGTTTTAATATATATAAATTTTAAGTAGTTTCTCGTTAGTCAGTATGGCTGGGCATATTTTGCATGTGTGTTTTATTATGTAAGTGATGTGTTATGTAAAATATGTGTGACACTTCATTAAAATATTTTATTATTATTTATTATTATTATATATATAAATCTCCATCCGGGCTATCGTGGGGTCTGTTCGCTCCTATAGACCTGTTAAGGAGGCTCCACCCTTTCGCAATTAGCCAGCAGAATTCAATGAAAGTTTCACATAATGGTTATGTCACTATGTAGAGATGATTTTATGAAAATCTAAGCATTACGCAATACGGAAATGACGACACGAAAATACGACAAGAAAAACATGTGTATTACAAAGGGTGGGAAGTCCTTAACTCTGCGTATAATTTGATAGGTTGAAAGAAAGCCGATGTATGCAACAGACCATATAACATTTTTTAGCTCACCTGGCCCGAAGAGCCAAATGAGCTTATGTCATGGCGCAGCGTCCGTCGTCCGTCAACTTTTCCTTTAAAACGCTACTAGTCCTGAACGGCTCAGAGGATTTTGACAAAATGGTCTGGAGCATCATTGGCCAAAGGGTTCTCAGCATGCATCAGATATGCTAAGGGACTAATGAATTAGTTTTGTATAAACTGAGGTGTGTGGGACCCCTTCTTTGGGGCGGATGGGTAGGGGCCCATTAGGGGCAATAGAAGTAAACATTAAAGATCCTTCTCCTTTTGTACCGATGAAAGGATTTTAACCAAACGTGTTCTAGAGGATCTTTGGGCAAAGGGAATTTACAATCTATAAATGGAGGATGTAGGATTAGTATATTTTTATTAAATACTTCCCGTTATATCAATCTGCTCCGAGTATGTGTGTGTGTGTGTGTGTGTTTAGAAGTATGTATGTTGCCAGTGTGTGTAGTTTAAACATTCATCCATATCATTAATTCAAACATACCTACAAATTTTCCATATAAATGTTCATCTATTTCGATAAGTAATTAATTATCGATAATTTTGTAAATATATCTTATTATTCTTTGTAAATGTATATATGTTGTACCAGTTCAGGAGAAGACTAATATAGGCACTGTATGTTGTCTAATCCTTTTGTAAATACAATAAAATTTGTTGAAACCAAAGCCCAATAGGGAAAATAGGGGACATATACGTCCAGACATATCCCTGGAGGCTACCTCCTTGGGACATAACATGGACACTCATTTTCTTGGTGTCTTGTCCACCACAACATATTTATATGTAGTTCCTCTTGCAACTTTGCTTCTTGTACTCCTTTGATAAACATGTATGGTACTCAGCTTGTTTTAAATTGAGAATAAAATACCAGGTGAGCTATTATGGCCCGTGGGCCTCTTGTTCAGTTATGTTTTAATTGGATTGAAATAAAGACAAAGACAAAATATTGAGGGATGTTTGTATTAAAAGGGTTCAATGGCCCCGAGTCCCCTTCAAGAAGAACACCTGCTTTTATCATTTCTATCATATATCATGAACCACTGAAGAAACACATTCCTTCTTTTTTTGATTTTCCAAAAAAGGCGAACGGTGATATAAATCTATCTTTGTAAATTACTTTGGAGCATATTTTGTGAAAGGCAAAAACAAAGACAGAATGATTGAGTTCCTGGTTAACCATATATGTGTTGAGTTCAGTAGCGAGATATTGAGAGTACTGCAAGCATTCCTGTGTGAACAGATTGTCCTCCGCTTCGGGTCGACTTGATTTTGTTTTCATAGGAGGTTGACTCTATGGTTTAGCTTATCATGGCTGCACACACTTAAACGTAACGAAGTATTTCGATCCCACATTTAGCTACATCGATGATGTGCTGTTTTTAAATAACAAGACATTTAATTACCACAGCAATCGTTTATACCCTGTTTACATGTTTTTACATGTTGCGGTTGATTCGGTATCAGAGAGTTTGTTCCGAATAGCATCACGTTGGAAATATATCTTGATCGCTGACGAACAAATGTACCGAACAGGGTTTCCAAAGATGCTTGTTGATGAAGATTATGAGCAAATTGTGTCAAAGGGGAAATATGCTGTATCTTTGTGTGATAGGACGGTAATTGTTTTCAATTTCAACAAATGTTATTGGCAACGTAAGCATTAGTCAATAGGATCAGACATCAGTCATAGCCTATCTTAGTCCTGTCCTTAAGGTGACAGCAGGTGGTAAGAAACTCAGACATATATTTATACATTGATATGACGATTGGGATAAGGGAAAGTAACTCATTGATGTAAACAGACTTGTTCACTATTCTTGAGATATAGTACTGTAACCCTTTAACTAGGGATATCTAATTTGAGATATTTCTTATACTATTATCGTTAGTGAATAGGTAAATTGTTGAGTATAAATATTTGTTGATATTGGATTTATTTCCGCCAACATTCCTTCATTTGAGGTATGTTCCTCGTTATATATTCGACGGTTAAACATTTCGTTCTATTTAGCTGATAGTTAGGGTTTCCTACAGTTGCATGTTTCAATCGCTCCTTGTCACCGCATGTTTAACTCATTCACCCCTGAAGACACATTTGAACTCTTCCAATTCAAAGGTTGGAATAGTTCATTATGAAATTTCAGGGGTGAATGAGTTAAAGACTCCTCAGAAACATAATGTTGATCATTTTTGTATTGTATTTTTCAGTGGTTACCAGGAATGACGTTTTAAGTGAAAACTTCCGGTCATCTCTGCTGTCCAACACGAGGAGGCGATACATGTCGTACCAGTATAAAGACTACGTCACACCCTTACGTCAAATGTTACATACCGTCTGCTGTAGTTATCGCCCTTGTTTGTTAAATCGAGTCGGCGTTAGTTATCTACCCTGTGTGTTACGTCTGCTGGGTTGACTTCAAAACATGTGAATGGGAAACAGACCGTTTTATGTGACCTGATCACACCGTTAATCAGCGGCAGCACAACCACGATGTTCAGGGCGTTTGTTTGCCGAGTTCTGGGGACCAAGAAGTTATTACCGGTTCTGGGTATACTGTGTTTGGTGGTCGTAGTGTTTGACTTCATAATGCTTACCAGAGTAAAGGAGTTCTACCTTAGTCGGACCTACAGAAAGATCGAAACAGCCTCCCACACATTCTCAACGGCTGACGGCGTAAATAACCGTACACAAATGACACAGATAACACAGTTTGCTGATGATTTTAATCGGACAAATAGTTTTAAAACCTTACCAGAGACCGAGAATAACTACGCAAATTTAAGTAAATATACCTCAAAAGGTTCTAATAATGCATCAACATTTGAAAATTTCAACCAAAATTACTATAAAACCGTTACCGCCCTTCCAGTGACTTCAGTAGAACCCGGCCGTCCAGAAAGCTGTACCGATTGTTTCAAGCACGAATTCAGCTTAACAATTGACAATGAGGAAGTGTGTAAAATCAGACCTGGTAATACCAAACAGGAAATTACTATTCTTATATTAATATTCACTTCGCATGCGCGGAGAGGACAGCGCGACGCAATTCGGCAGACATGGTTAACGCATGCTAAAAACAACACGGCCAACATCCGGTATGTGTTTTTACTTGGAATTTCAAATCAAACAAATTTAAATCAGGCCGTTTTAGAAGAAAATAAATTACATGCTGATTTAATTCAAGAGAACTTTACAGACTCCTATTTAAATCTGACCTATAAAACAATGATGGGATTTAAGTGGGCGTTGACACATTGTGCGCATGCGAAATTTGTATTAAAGACCGATGACGATATGTATGTCAATATTCCAGTTTTAATTAATCTCACGCGTACCAACGCCGAGCATCTGCAGACAGCCGTGGGCGGGAGCTGTTTTGTTTTAGACCAGCAACCTATACGTGATAAATATTCTAAGTGGTACGCCTCCTACACCAGCTATCCACAGGAGTTATATCCGGGTTTCTGCTCCGGAACTGGATACATAACAAGCATCGCTGTTGTCAAACACGTGTTTGATATTTCCAAAAATGTGCCATTTTTTCACTTGGAAGATATATATGTGTCGCTGTGCCTAAAACAACTAGGATACCATTTGCTTCCCCTGTACGGTTTCCATAACCACAGGGTAAGGATTGACTTCTGTCATTATAAAAGTGCTTTTGTGGTGACGTCACACGAATTATCCCCGGACCTGTTACGGTCTGTGTGGACGGGTACATGTAAACCTTATAACTTACAAATGAGGATAATGGGTTTCGTGGTAGCGATGACTTTCTTCATAATACTGTGTCTTTGTTCCATGGTCCAGTGATGTGCCTTAATACTGCTCAATGGTTGAATGATTCGCCAAAGTACACTGTTTACTCAATTACAATGCATTATATCACAACCATGGACCTTGTTTTATATGAGGATTATTAAATGGGGGGTTTTCATACAATAAAATGTCGTTTTTCCAATGGTTCTTGGTCGTAATGTCTATTTAGCCTATTGTAGGTCATCCTCGATATCATTGGGTTACGCTCACTTTCGCTCTCTGCACCCCTGGAATATGTCAACCACCTTGTTGATGAGACAAGGAGACTAGTTCGATCCTTTGAAGTACATCAAAAGAATCTCGCGGTCGCGTAACGGTTAAAAAATGACAGGCTTTGAAGTCGAGTGTCGCTCCTTTGTATTCTTCAAAGGACATGTACAGGTATCAGCGCAGCGATTGGTCAGTTTTTTATGATTTGTTTCTATGGAACCATAGAGGGTCAGTAAAACTCATTGGGGGTGAGGCCTAACTAACAAGATGTGTATGCCTGCGTGTAGGCAGGAGATGTTATGTGTTGTATCGTTCCCTAACTTCTATATTAAGGTTACAAGTACCACAACGACAATGTGTATTACATTTTGATACACATGCATTCCGATGATTACTTTCAAACCTTGATCTAGTTAGAATACGTTTAAAAAAATTAGGTTGTCTTTTGCTGTGTATTAACCCATTCACCCCTAAAATTTCATTATGAACTATTCCAACCCTTGAATCGGAAGAGTTCAAATGTGTCTTCAGTGGTAAATGAGTAAAAGCGATCCAACACTTTTTTCATACGTTCGCTGCCTCGTTTCAAATCTTCACATCTTTTCCGGATTACTGGAAATATGTTGAAATTACGAGGGTTTAAAGTTGAAACAAATGGCATAATATCCATATTATCTGCAACACGAGCGCGGGCTGTAAAAGGTCCCTTTTCAATTGCCATAATTTATCGTTTTCAACAATACTCAGGATATCCTTGAGATTTCAAAAATGTAATAATTTTTTCAAGCCTTTCCTTCATTGTAATCTTATTACTCACTATAGTAACGATACACGCTGCTAAATTAAAAGGAATATTTATTTTAACATGATTAGAATGGTCTGAGTAAAAATTCAGATACTTATGATAATCTGTAGGTTTCGTATATAAATCAGTAGAAATAGTGTTGTCTTTCAAAATGACAAGCAAATCCAAAAAGGGTAACGAAGACTCACTCACTTCCATAGTATACATATATAACTATAACGAATAGAAGGGTGTAAAGAATTAAGGCCACTTAATGTCTCATCTACCCACAACACACAAGTCAGCTTGCCAAATGATGAAACAGTCATCTAGAAAACGTAGAACGATTTTTTCAATCAATCCATGGCAGTCGCGATCAATGTTCAATAACATTGTATAACAATTCCTCTAGAAACCCTTATATCATGCAGGATTGCATATAAAGTACATCATTGAAACAAAAAACGTTCCTTTCAAGTATAATATGCATAGATTCAAGATTAAAATCATGGCTAAAATGCGAATCTATTTTATTTTGATGTTTCCTTAGCCGATACTTTATTGCTTCTAATCCCAGATCATGGGGAATATTGGTATATGAACTAACAACGTTATTTAATATATATATGTACTTTATATCTATATATACAGTGATGCACACCTTATTGTCCCTGTAACCCACATATAATAGGTAGGTAGGGGAGGTATTATTGGAAGCCAATATCAATACATCTAGCTTATACAGTACATGGGCCTTAACGGTCGCCGGAGTTGTTATTTGTTGTTGTGATGTGACAAAAACAATATTTCATATATATAGCAGGATATTGTCATATTAAAGTGAAGAAATGTAATAAAGTAAATGTTATCCCTCCCAAGGGAGGAATAGATGCCCCGGGGGTCGTGAAATTCTCATTTTGATAAAGCACATGAGGACAATTCCATCCATTCGGAGGTTTTGATCATATCTGTGTCTGAAGAAGACAGTTGTTGAATTTGTCCCAATTTGAGTCCATGCCACCACTCAGACCCTGTGGTTGCACATGATGACATCTCCAACAACGTTTGAATTCTTTCCCACTGAAACTAATAAAATATATATACCAAAATGTCTCATTTCCATAAACTATAGCAAAATTTACCCCCTCCCAAGGAGTAAATGGGTGACAAACGATCTCCTTTACCTGTACATCAGGTATACACCTTCTCTGCAACAAATAATACACCTCCCATACATTTCTTTTCAAAATATTTTATTAAATCAAATGATTAATGGGAATTGGGCAACAAGCTATGCCTATACAAACCCTCTCCCTTAGGTTACATACATTCCAAACAATAACATAATTATAATGTATAATTTAGACATTAACATAT